GCAGTCCTGACCATTGAGTGTCATCACTTTATAATAGAACAATTCGGTTGTGTTACCAGGCCTGGCTTTATCAATTTTCTGCAAATTTTGCTAACAACCGTTGTTGTTGGTGGTTTTTTATTTATTTTTATTTTTTTGTCAAACAAGTAAAAACCAAAATGTCGCCATGCTGGTGAACTGCTGTAACCTGTCTTTGCTGCAACATCTTGTTTACGTCACATGCTGGCTGTTAAGGTTTGAGAGGGGAGGGTTTGGTGATGGAGCATGCCTGGGTCTGTGTTTTTGATTGGTTGGGAGTAGGTAACAACTCTAGTATTAAGCTACCCAATAGGGTTAGGGTCAGTCTCTGGGAAGAAAACCACAGTAACCAGAAAACATACAGAAAGGTTTCTGTTACGGATGCACCGATATGAATTTTTGGGGCTTATACCGATATCCTTTATTATTATCATCACTATTATGGTCGACGTTTAAACTTCTGATATCAATCAAGTTTAATTGTATAGAGCTTTCCACAACCAGAGGGAGCCTAAGTCACACCCATCTACTTCTGCATCATGGGTCCCCGGAAGAACGAAAAAATGAATGCAAGTCAATGGCGCTAAAACGCTATTTTATAATTCCACTTGTTTTGTGCCACATATGATGTCAGTGAATTTTAAAGACATTTTGATACCAAGAACGGGCTTATTTTAGAACGGGGGGAAACACTATTTTAGGTTTTGTGTGAAAATAAGTTCAGGACTACAAATGTGCTTCACGAAAGTGATGTCATCGAACCAGACACGGAGAAAACTGAGGGAAAAAACTTCTCACTGGAGGAAAGAACCACCATAAATCTGGTCATTTGGTTAAGTAGTAGCTACGTTAGGGAAGAGGAGATTATGTTTATGTTTATGTTTATGTTTATGTGCTTAGCAGACGCTTTTACCCAAAGCGACTTACAATTTATTTATTTTTTTTTACCTACAGGGCATGTTGTGATCTGTGGGGGAAACCGGAGTACCCGGAGAAAACCCACGCATGCATGGGGAGAACACGCAACTCCACGCAGAAAGGCGAGTTTTTTTAACCTGCGACCTTCGTGCTGCGAGGCAACAGTGCTAACCACTGCGCCACCATGCAGCTATTATTATTATGTAGTGACATCACATATGCGACGTGCAGATTTCTAGTTTGTAGTCATGCTAATTATGTACTTTTACAAGCTAATAAATCTCAAAGTACGTGACTGGCGTGATCGAAACACCCATCATTAGTTTTCATTTAAACTGCAGTACAACATGTGCGATCCAGGGTCTAAGGCAAAGCGGATTAGAAAATAGCGTTTTTAGCCCCGTTGACTTGCATTCATTTTTTCATTCTTCCGGGGATCCATGATGCGGAAGTAGACTTACTGTAGGCTCCCTATAGAAGGTGACCAAAGTGCTTTACATAATAAAATAAGGCCAGAGTGCATACAAATTGAGATTCCAATAAAAACTGATGGTTACACAAGTAAAAATACACAAATCATGAAAACTAAAAAGAGTTAAAGAGCAGATGGGTACCTAAAAACTAAAAGCCTGCTGAAAAAGGTGCATTTTGAGCTTTGACTTAAAAGTGAACATGTCAGTCGTCAGGCGCAGGTCGTCAAGAAGTTTGTTCCAGAGTGAGGGGTCCACCTCTGAGAACGAGTGGCTGCCCTAATGTTTGTATCCAGACCGCGGGGATCTAGACTGAATTTGTCCAGTCGATCTTGTTTGCCGTGTTTGCTTGCGTACGGACCAAATGTCAGAGAGATAGGCAGGACCAAGGCCATGGACACTCTTGAATGTAAACAGAATGATTTTGACTTGTATATCAGCAAATGTTGTATAGACTGAAAATTATGCAAGCTAAATTCTTTAATGTTTTGCTTTATTTCTACAAAGTGGAATTAGCAAAATATTATATACACCACACACATTTACGCTTCTGAGATGATTACCATCACCGTCACAGGATTAAACAATTACTCATCATCACCCCTCACCCTCTGAAACACAAACAGAAGTAAGATGGAAAAAATATTGGTTGTCAATATCGGCCCAGTTTTACTTATCAGACCAACACAGATATGTTAAAAATGACTGACATCGGCCGATACCGATATTGATGCCTATATATTGTGCATCCCTAGTTCCTGTTGGAAGTCAAACCTTCTTCCTGCAAGACCACGGTGTTTCCATCTACTCTCCAAACATGCCTCAAATCAGACACCTAGTTGGTTTTTACTATCTAAACACCACAATATACAAGTCAAACCTGATAAAACTGGCCAACAAAGTACAATTTCGCCACCAAAACTAAATAAAATGCTGCATGACCCACTGATTATGCTTAATCCTTTTAGGTGCTTTGTGCCAATGTTGTATTTCTGCTGCCTTTTGAAGAAGTACGTTGTGTTTTAATAATTCATTGACATTTTGAAGGAACAGCATGAGTCATTATTACATAACCTTTATTGAATAATAATAATAATAATAGTTTAATTTAACAAACACTTTCGGCATGCTAACAGCTAAACAATTAACTAAATACTCTAGTTTGTTGTTTTAATGTAGCGCACTATAGCTTGGTTGTATTGGTCGACTTAAATGGTCACATGGGTAAAACACTGAACTAATGTTTTCACCAGAACGCCACCAGCTTTCAGCAGACTGTAAATTAGATTTAGATTAGTCATGTTAAAAATATTGAATTTTAAGATAAACCACATTCAAATATGACTTTATTTCCTCGAGTTCTTAATGATATCATGTGCCTTATTGCTTCAGCTGAAAAATCTGTTGAACCTGACTGAAACAAATGAGAGGATTGCTGTGAATCATCAGACTGACGACTTCCAGAGTGACTTCTGCGGATGAACTAGATACCAGTGCTCCTCTCAACATGGCTGTGGGAGGGTTTTGCTGTATTTTTTTATGTTTTGCAACGGCTATCTGAGCTCCAGTGCTCAAGGCTTGAAGATAAAGTTGCAATGGGCAGGGAGGAGGTGGATTTTCACAGCCTCCATCATGAGTCAGGACTGAGTCAACTGCACTGACCCACTCCCTACAGCTCACCGATCTAATTCGTAGCTCAGCTCACTCTCCGTGTCTCGCTGGCGTTCACCGTTGCTTCGTATCTTTCCTCCCTTTCCCCTTGGCTGAGGCTTCACTCCCACTCAGCAACATCTGTATGCAGAACAATCTCTTTGTGCACATGCATCTCAATATCCATGTGGGTGAGGTTGCTATTATTAAAAAAAAAACATCACTTTGTACTGTAAACACCACTGGCAGCATTTCAGTGTGTTTTATCAAATTTCAAAGATTCCTCTCTGCACAGCCTCGTTGGCATCATTTCCCGTGCATTTAAATTTCACATTAAAATCTTTAAAAGCTCTTGTTTACAGATTTTACTACCATCCAGGAGGGAGGGGGGCTGGTGCCTATCTCGAGCGGTCAATGGGCAATCATGCGGGGTACACCCTGGACAGAGAGCCAGTCCATCGCAGGGCAACACAGAGACACACAGGACAAACTATCACACACACACACATACACACACACACACACCTAAGGACAATTTAGACAGACCAACCAACCTAACAGTCATGTTTTTGGACTGTGGGAGGAAGCCGGAGTACCCGGAGAGAACCCACGCATGCACAGGGAGAACATGCAAACTCCATGCAGAAAGATCCCAGGACGGGAATCGAACCCAGGACCTTCTTGCTGCAAGGCAACAGCACTAACCATTGCGCAGCCCAGATTTTACTACGTTATGCTAATTTACTGCTTTCATAGATAACTCCCAATCTCTTCTATATGAATGGGTTGTTGCTGCAGTAGCATTTGTAAATGTCAACTTCTTAGTTATTTCAGAAAATAGTTGAATAATGCATCGTCTTCATTAAATCTTCCAACCTGGCAAGCACGCTGTGAGTGATAAAACTCAGTAGTAAGAGAGAGACACGCTTTTGCCAGTGAATATTAATTCATGGTTGCTGCGTCTGATTGCTGGTGGCGATAGTCTGATAAGAGACACGGTTCTGTTTGCTCAGCCTTCTTCTGCATGCATCATCTACTTAGATTTTTGTCTGCTGCAAGAAGCTACGTTTCATTATAATAACTGAGAATGAGCAATGTTACGAGGAAGCGTGAAACCAAATAAAACAAATTTGGTGTTGAATCCCAGACATCTGTGGATCTGAGGGAGTGTTTGGAAGTTTTGCTAGAACACAGAATAAACGTGGCCTTTATTGGCCAGATACCAGCGTGTTGGGACAGATTTCTGTCCGGTTTTGGTAATTCTCCATCCATGACTCAGATCAAGTCATGGTGTGGGAAAGCGAGTGGGCGTGTGTGTGCTGTTGGAACGGTTTTGCACGTTTATGTGCATAAATTGCAATGTTAAAAGGATACATATGCATGTGTTGGAAGGTGAATGAGTACAAAGACGCCAGTGGACACTCGTGCAGCCATGCGCGTAAGAAAGACTCAAAGGCGATGATGGTTCATTGCAACTTAGTAAGATTTGATAGTGAAGCTCACCTAATTTGAGCTTTTCACGCTCCTTTGAAGATAGTTAAAATACAGAGGCATCAGCTGCGTGGTGTTCTGGAGAGGTAAACAGTATTTCAACAACTGGATCTGATTTGTAACAGCAACGGTGGCCCAGATGGGGTCCTCTGCCTATTAACCTACAACTCCAGACTAGAATAGGACGCAAAAAGAAATGACAGGGCTTTAAGAAAAGACACAAGGTGAGAAAAGGACATCACACAAAGGAAAGAGTTTTTAATCCTCTGAGGAAAATGTGCCAGACGGTTCAGTCTTATTAACTTGAACGACCTGTGCTTGTGACGGGGGGCGACGATACCCTTCATTTTGCTCGATAAAAGCAATTGTTACTGCTGTGACTGGCAAGTGGCTTTCATCTGGGCAGTCAGGCATTCACGTTAATGCTTTTCCTCTTTTTTTCTTCTTCCACAGGGCCCACTGAGATTCTTGAGCTTCGAGAGGAGGGATCCTTGCGCCGCACTCTAATCGACCCTGGTTGATCAGGGAGAGAGAAGCCAGAGCTGAGCCCAAACATCAGCCTTCTTTTTATTGAAAGCGCTAATGGCGCTTAGCCGACAGGAGACGATACCTTACTTTGAGCACTAAACAACTTTTCTGGCACAGCTGTGCTAGGCAGCGTGACTGTCCAACAGGCAACACATATACATGAGCAAACAGATGACTTCGTAGTTGTGTTTGTTCGTATCAACGATTACTTTAAAAATTGGAATATGGCCGAAACCCAGTTATCAAAAGTAACGAAGCGAAGTTAGATGAACCAGTACAAGATGGAGGTGAAAGGATGTCAGACGCTGTTTGATTGATGTCCACACAGACTTTTGGTCTGTACATACTCAGATGGAAATCAATAGCTCCACTCAGCCGAAGGAATTTGCCTTTTAAGAATTGTAATTGTGTGTGGCTAGCGCAATAGGTCTGCCTGCGAGCGAAACGCTGCTCTGCTGGACTGCAGATAAGGAGAAAATAACATTATGTCAGCGTGTGCCATATTTATCACAACCACAGACTGCTCTTTTTTAAACGAGTGACAGTGTGGCCATTGATCCGTGTCCAAAGCTCGTGTTCTTTGTTCATCTATTTGCTCAACTGGTGTGCCGTCTCTCCTTCACAGTTTCAGGGCATCTGCGGGTCCTTAAAAAGTCTTAAATTTGCTTTTCCAAATTTAAGGCCTTAAAAATCCTTAAAAATGACAAATAATCCTTAAATACAGTTTCCAAAGGTCTTAAATTACCAAAGACCCAATAAACAAGATTATTTTATTTCTATAAAATTTTCGTGAATTTCTAGTGTTCAGCAAGTTTTGTGTACGATGTTGGCGTAAGCGGAACCGTACACATTCAGTTGGTTGTGAAAGGGGCTATTTTTAGATGAGCACGCTAGTGGGAGTTTGCGCCATGGGGAAGTGCAACATTAATGGTAACTGGATGGCTAATCCCACGTTGGTGACATGGTTAGCACCGGTTCCAGGCAATAGCTGGAAACTATAGCTTAAATTTAATTTTAAAAATTTGCTTAAATTTGGTCCAAGTGGCCTTAAAAAGGTCTTAAAGTCTTAAATTTGGCTCCCTTAAACCTGCAGATACCCTGAGTTTTCACATTAACATGCAGAGATTCAGTACAGTGTCGATGGCTTTGTTACAGCTTTAAAGAGTTATCCAAGAAAGTAATAATTTGCATCAAATTTTATTTGTATACAACATGTACTTGTTTGATATTAGTATATTTCAGGTGTTTTCTACAGAGGCTATAACAATTAAAAATATATGATATTTTTGATATTATGTTGGATGAATAAGTGTATTTTTATTTTTTTTTCACAAACATTCCTTCAAAGTACTTTTTCTGCAGGGCAAAGTGAGCAGAGTTCCTTAAACGGGATGTGTGGAAACACAAAACTAACAGGACCTTTACTGCTCGGTTTACTTTGATTACAAAAATGAAGCTAGAAAAGAAAAGTGTAGTAAACCCAATAGACGTTGCACTTCATCAGAATGGAGGGATGAGGATGAATGAACGCATGACTGACTCTTCACTATGTCCTGGCATCACTGTGTTTTCTATGCATTTCTGAGGGGAGGTTTTCTCTCGGTGGCTCCAGCATGCAGGGTGTTCCGCTGTCCGTATCAAAGATTTAACATATTTTTGTTTCTCATTCTTTCATATAATTTTCAAATTTCTGATGGCAACTCTTGACTACCGTGTTTTCCGGACTATATCCGCTACTTTTTCCCACGCTTTGAACGCCGCTTATAATGAGGTGTGGCTTTAAAAGGATGGATGCTGGAAAGGAGTGCTACGGAAAGCGCCACGGAGGATTTTTTCACAGTAAAACGGCGCTGCGTGTTTTCACCGCTTCACCCCGGGATGATGACAGCAACAAGGAGAGCGACACTGACAGTTAAACTACGTTTTCAATTCAGTGGATATCTGCGGCTTTTAGCCCGGTGCGGCTTATATTGAGGTGCGCTCTAAAGTCTGGAAATTACGGTAATTTACATTTAATTGTGGCAAATAAGACACTGGTAAGTCTTAAATTGCATTTTTAAGTTCTTTTTTTAAACACAGGAAACGTTATTTTAGCTTTCGATCACTCCCGTGATCAAAACCGTCAGCAAGGTAAAAAAAATAGGTTTCCTGTGTATAAAAAAAGAACTTAAAAATGCATTCAGACATTAAAAAGGCATAAAGCTCCTCACCAGGGGCTCAATCCTCACCAGTTTTAAAGACGACTAGAAAGCTGTCAGTGAATTTTTTCTTGTGGTTTACTGAACTCTTTGAAACTAATTTGTGAGAAGTAAACACTTTGCACTTCGTGTTGGCATACGTGTCTACTTGTAACACTCATTTCAACGTTGATTCCTTTATTTTGCCAGTTTGAGAAATCGCGCAATTCTCTTACAGTGTCGCAGCACCACGAACCCTGTGCCACATAGAGGAAAATATATCGACTCCAAAGCGTACTTGCAGTGTGAGCCAACTCTCCCTAAAAGAGAAAAGCTACAGTAAATGGCATCAGCGGCCACATCTGTTAGCTGAAGATTAGCGTGGTGAGATAGCAAGATGGCAGACGCTAGAGGTCATGAACTGTCTGCACGATATTCTCATTGCAGGCTCACAGCTCGGCGCCATTAAAATAAGGGGCAAGGTTACAGAGCAGCGTGGTAGGACAACGACGTAGTTGGGAGAGTTCCTAACCCAGGATCCAGAAATAATGTGATGTGAAATTAGCAAAGAAAAAAATGCATATTTTACTTTTTACTCTTGAACAAATTATATAACTAAAGAGGGCAGCTGTGTAATGCAGCTGCTTGTAGTCACATGGAATGAGCTCACTACTCATGGTCATTTTAAATGTGCAGTTTGACTGAAGTAGAAAGTGATGACTTTGAAAGAATTTAATAAACATTAATATTTGAGAAATAAAATTATATGTTTACCAAACAGATTGAGACAGATTTTACTTTACTAAATATGTGAGTTTCAGCTTAAAGAAACAGTTTCAGCCTGTTCTAAACAAATAAGCTTCTAAAAAATATTAGAGCTCAGACGACTTGATAGCAAGCAATCAAATCAGAATTTTTTTTCTTCCAGTGGTTGCGTTATGTTAACACTGCTTACAGTTAACATGTCAATAATAAATCCAGAACTGCAAACTTGTTTTAGAGCAAACTTTTAGAGCATGTACAATGTCTAAAAACATTATTTTCAGTAGATTTATATTCACGTGATGAAAAATACTTTCAATTGACCAAACTATTTATTGTACTTTCCTAGGGGGGCAATTTCATGTCACCAACAGGGTCTTTATTTAGTGTTGTTACTGACTTTCAAAGACAATATCTCCAAGCCTCATCTACCAAGCTTTATTTTAAATGTTTAAATAAAAAATAAATGCAAAGAAAACATATATATATATATATATATATATATATATATATATATATATATATATATCTGTTTTATATGGAACTATCTATTTTATATCTGAATATATGGAACTGTGAAATATGTTATGGCTAGCCTTTGCAGACAGGCTCTGTTTGCATGTATTTACCTTTTATATAACATTTAAAATAAAGCTTGGTAAATGAGGCTTGGAGATATTATATATATATATATATATATATATATATATATATATATATATATATAATGTGTACATATATATGTATACACATTTAGAGTAAATGCAGCAGCAGCTTCAACCAAATCACCAAGAGCATAGACAAGGTGCGCGTGTTTTTAGTCACCAGTTGTCCCGATAACAAGTGCGATGCCACGACGGCGATGAGGTTCAGGTCAGGGGGTTTGCGACACCGCCCACTCAAGCTAGCTGGATAACACAACGAGTGCATGCTTCTCCTAGTCACGTGACAGGAAAAAAAAACAAAAGGGGGGAGATGAAGAACTCGATTAAGATAAACTTGGAGGTTGTGAAGGAGTCAGGAGGGAGTCGTTTTATCCACAGGTACACTTATTTTGTTCAAATTCTGCTTTTATAACTTGTGAGTTGAGCGTCCAGTTCCGGTTCACTCACAGCTGGTGTACATTAGAGCCCGCACGGTGGCTGAAACCATAACAGCTCGTCGGAACCACGCAGGCAGACGAGTTTTTACGGAAAGCAGCCGATCCTTCGGAGTGTTTTTTGTTTGAAATGAAACTGTTTAGTCGGCGGAGATGAGGTCTAGGAAACTGCTGATGCGTAAAATGCTTGTGACCTACTAGCAAACCGCTGGGCTGAATCATCCAGACACCATTAGCAAGCCGAGGTGGCCATAAAAGGACAACTAGATCCCCTAAATGTTAGCATTTTCGTCAGAACCTGGAGACCTTTTCTCTTTATCTTTGTTGGTCCACTCGTGGGTGAGGGAGGATGAGTGGATTTGTGTCTAACCCCGGTCAAAACGATCTTTTCTCGAGGAATGGAAGAATATGAAGAACTAGTGAGTTTATTGGTCCAGATGTGATGGGAGCACTGGGGGTGGATGTCACCAGGATATGAGATGAGCATGTAAGTAAAACCAACTTATTTCATTTTAAAATATTAACGTTCACTGTAGACATTTAATCCAACTATCCTGTTTTTAACTGTAGCGGCAAATGTAGGAAAATAATATAAAATATTCTACCAGGGTTTAAAAGTATTTTTAGCCTATAATAAGTTGGATTAGTAGCTGTTTACCAAGTAGGAAGGTCTCCTTCTATTGAACGTGTGATTTGTAGTGTTGGACACAAAAACAACACTCTTTGATTTGGTTAGAGTATTCTGTGTACAGCATGGACGTAATTTTGGAGGGGGACGGGGGGGGGACATGTCCCCCCCACTTTTTCCGAAGTCAAGTTTTGACCCCTGCACTTTTTACCATCCAAAAACAATATTACTTTATATTAAATTGACACTGGTTGAGCTCTAGGACCAAGCAGAAAACAACCGTTTGTGTTGAAGCCTGTTTCCCATTAGAGCATACTGTAAAGATACCCCCCCCCCCCCCCCCCCCCCGCGTGTTCCCCCAACTTCTAAAGTGAAAATTACGTCCATGGTGTACAGTTCTGTGTTAAAACAGAAGTATAAACACAGCTAGGATGAGATGGTCAGATAGTAAAAAGTACCTACCAGGAAGTACAACACCAAACCTGTTATTATACTACACCTGATGTTGTAATCTGACCATCAAACCTTTATTTAAAAACGTCCTTAAATAAAACACTGCAGACTCACATGGCACAGACGAGAGAATCCTTAAATCCTTGGTGTGACATAATCTTTTTTTGGTTTCCAGGTAAATAAAGACTTAGCAACAGGAGAAGATGAAGCTGAATGAGCGCAGCGTGGCTCACTATGCCACCTGTGACACCCCGCCGGACAAGACTGGCTTCCTGTTCAAAAAGGGCGAGCGGAACACGGCCTATCATCGACGCTGGTTCATCCTGAAGGGCAACATGCTCTTCTACTTTGAGGAGCGCGACAGCCGGGAGCCCATCGGCGTCATCGTCCTTGAGGGATGCACGGTGGAGCTGTGCGAGTCGGCTGAGGAGTTTGCCTTTGCTGTCAAGTTTGACTGTGCAAAGGCGCGGGTGTACAAGATGGCAGCAGAGAACCAGGCTGCCATGGAGTCGTGGGTGAAGGCGCTCTCGAGGGCCAGCTTTGACTACATGAAGCTGGTGGTGAAGGAGCTGGAGAGGCAGCTGGAGGAGATCCAGGAGGCCTCTGGGATTGGAGCCCAGCAGGGTAAGCCTAAGTCTTCTAGGGGGAAACAGTCAGCACGCATCAGATCTGGAGCATCCTCCTCGTCGTCGTCGTCTTCGTCTTCCCTTTCATCAGCATCGAGTGCCCCTTCCATGACCGCTCTCTGCTCTGCCCAGAAGAACCTTCAGGATGAGGTACAGCTCATCTCTGGAATTTCCAGGGAGAACGGAGTTGCATGGAATAAACCGCCAGCTGCCTTGGTTAATGGTTTTGTTGAAGGAGCTTCATCGTGCCTGGCCTGGAAAGGCTGTGGAGACTCTGGAAATATTGTTGGCTGTGGAGCTGATGGAGTAAGGGCTCCACCAGTGCCCCCGCGGAGGTTCGGAGCGTCGCTGGAGAGCCCGGTTTCCCCTGGGACTGGCTGCTTCTCCAAACTTCACGACTGGTACGGCAAAGAGGTCGAGGAACTTCGAGCACAGTGGCTTCAGAGCCAGTAGGCCGGCGAGGACCGTTTTTCCCTAGTTCGGACCTTCCTTTCCGGTCATCCTCCAGTGCTTTCTGAGTTTCAGGAAGATGAAAGCACTTGGAGCTCTTAAGTGTTATCACTAAAACAAACATTTCTGAGGTTTTTCTTTTTCCACAGAAGATAAAAAAAAAAAATCAACACTATTCTGTCTACAATCTAAAAACAAATGCTACTCTTTCACCGTTTTGCTGCAAGACTTTTCAGGACAGAATGTGTAAAACACTACTTAGACACAATCAAATCAGTCGTTCTTATAGGAATCGCACATCTCAATTTTTTTCATTTAGTATATTTCATTTGGGGGGAAAAAAGCAATTTTCTTATATATTTTTTTAAAAAGTTGCACATGCAACCAGATCTACTTAGTTTATTGAAATTCCTAATAAAATTAAAATAACAAAAATGACCCCAGCTCAGTGATTGTAATTGAGAGAACCTAATATTTACTGCTGGAGAGGAAATGCAAATCTGCAGGAATCCGGTTCAAGGTGTTTGGTGTTGTAGGGAGACTTGAAGCTAGTTTTCAGTCCAACCAGGACAGCAGGCCTTAGTTCTGTCCTTAAAACCACCTCAACACTGGAGTTCTGGGAACGCCATTAATGCTGTTCTCACCCTGGAGGCCCAGTGGTCTCTGATATTCGAGCATTCCCCTTTGACAGTCACCAGGGACTTTATTGGGAGCCGAATGTTGTTTTTCAAGCAAGACATCCTTTTATTTTTAGCCCGCGTTGGCCAGCAGCCAGATGATGCTGTGTCATAAGATTGATTGTCACTTAGTTCCCTTTTGATTCCAGAGTTCCCTGCGAGGAGGTGGGTTATTTTAACCTTAAGGAATCAACATGGGTTTGCGTTGGCGATTTCATTTCATCTCATCCAATCTGTCTAACTGTACATTTTTAATTTGTTTTTCTTTTACGTGGGTCAAACCTGAATGTTGCTAAGGGAATAAACTTGCAGGTCTGGACTTTCTTTAGCATTTTATGTGAGTTTTTTATGATTCCTTGTTGGAAATAAACACTTAACAGTCTTAATTAGAAATTTTCTTTACTTGCATAAGCCATCATAGAGCATCTTTTTGAGTTATACGTACATTATGTTTTAATCACGACTAAACTGGCTTTCCTCCCCTCCTAATTGATGGTCTTCCATCAATTTCATACCTTTTTCTGCAAAAGGCTCGACCCCGGAGCAATGACGGTTTTTGACGCTGGTTCAGTCACTTTGCATCTGTATCACTGCAGCTCCATTAAGTTTTCACACTGATTGTGCTTAATCATTGCCTGAGAAAAAAATCCCAGTATGGATTATTTTAAAGTTGCCAATGTCTACATGACTGTTGACATGTACCATTTGATAATCTAGTTGCATTCATGCGTTTTCTTCATGCATATGTTGTAATCTCATGCTTAAACGTGTGAATGTGTTGATCTTACCATTTAATAATTGTACCTTTTGCAAGAGTACCAAAAATAGAAATGAACTATAAACAGTTTCTTTTACATGTGTTTTTATCGTTAATGAAATTGTTGCGTGCGTTACTGTTATAGCACTAATCAAGCTTGTTCAATTCTATAAGCAATAACATTGTTTAATGGTACCTTGTGTTTATGTTAACCACTCAATAAATATTTTTATACATTCAAACTGAGTTTTTTGTTTATCTGAACTTTAGCTTTTTTTTTTTTTTTGTAAGATTTTGGCATGACCTAAACAGAAATGAGCCACAGGTGCAAAGTTCTGAATCCATGCACACATTCCTGGTGCTTTGCGAGGTTTCCTCACCAGGTGTCACTGTGCAACAAGTTTAGTTCATTGTCTCAAGCCACTCACACCTGCATAGATGAAGCCTGTTTTAAGCTTTTGGGCAAATGATATGTCATCAGAAAATGAAAAATAATAATTTAGAAGTAAATTATCTTTGCGTTTATTGGGCTGTGAAATTAAAACCAGTAAATTGTCATTTAAATGCTTGAGTCACCATATTGCTGTGGTATAGATAAATCGAGTAGCACAAGTTTTAACATGAAACCCACTCAAATAGGCTGACATGTTGCCCTTCTGGCGTCAGCTAAAGGAAAATAATGTTTTTTATAACTATACCATTAAAACAGTAATGTTATATAAATAGTCCTGGTTAGATAATCATTTGGTAAACTATGTGAAACTAAAATAAAATAATGATCAATACTTGTAGTTTAGTCTAAATAGATTCTGCAACTTGCACATTCCGTTCCTAAAACTTTAGCCGGGCAGCGCAAATCAATGACGGAACGACTTCCTGTCCAGTATTTTCAAAGTAAAAGTACACAACCATATATATTAAATGTCCACACTATTCCTCCTAAAAAAATTAAACCGTCAAAATGTTAACCCAGAAAAAAAAAACTACTGTTTGACAGTTTGCAATAAATGAATATGGAAACACCTCAAATGTTTTATCAGTCACTGTAAATTAAAACTATATTTATGAAAGCTGACCTGCTGGTGCTTTAAAGAGCAAGTCAACCCCTACCAGAGTCTAACTCCACTCCCACTTCATGTTTGAAAAATGCAACAAATGTTGTTGCCTGGCAGACCGAGAAGGAGGAGCTGCTAACAAATACACACACACACAGGCTCACAACAGCATTGTGACATCATAATGTACCAGTTTACATCATAGCATACATCTTAGCCAATAGCGGTGGCAGATTTAATTTAAAATACAGTGCAGAATTTTTACCTGACAACGGCACAACACTGCCAGTTTTAGGCAGAATATTTAAATTTTAACTAAGATGCACTGAAGTGCCAAATTATTGACTACACGTGTCTGCAGCACGATTAGACACACATTTATTTAGTTTATCAGAAAAAAATAGTTTATTTGGGGGTGACTTGCTCTTTAAATGCTTTAAATTACATGTATGTTAGTCTAGGCTGATTCGAATTGATTTGCGTTTGAAAAAATTATTACAATAAAACTTTCAAGACAAAAATGCAACAAGTAGCAAAATGATTCGTAAAAACAAGGCACTTTAAAACATTCCCTATAATTTTATGGCTCCTATAACTGATCAGAGGCTGTTTTATTATTTTAGTTTGTTTTCTCTTTTGGGAAATATAATGTTATGGGTGAGTTATCAATTGAGATACTCTAAAATTATTATTAAAACTGATTTTAACCAAAGTTAAACAAATGTATCCACTATGATAAATTAGAACATAAATCCACTCGCTTTTGTTGCCAGTTGTGCCCTTCCGGATGTCTTGTTTTGAAACTTCTAACCGGAAGCGATGGTTTTCATTTCCTCCATCTTGACTCTTGTACCGACTGGACCGCGGCACACTTTTGACAGCGGAAATGAGCAGTAGCCTCTTTTTTCCGCTTCGGGCGTGTGACTTAAAGTTTTCTTTCCTTTTTCTGTTGCGGAGGACCCGGCGCGTGCAGTCACCATGAGAGAGAAAGCGAAGGATTTTTCGACATTTTTAATGTTTTCCTCCAACGTCCACTTTCTTCTGCTCATCGACCACGTTTAGATGCTACTTTTTTAGATCCCTCTCTGCCCATATTTCCGTTATGCGAAGTCCAACTTGGTGGTTAGACGTCGTGCAGCGGTGGGTGCCCGTCCGAGATAACGGAGAACGTGAGTGTGCTGTGCAAACTCTTTTCCTTTGTTTGTTTCCTTAAAGTGCTTTCCTTTCACCAACTTTACGTGCGTGTTGACCCCAGAGGAATGAACCGCACGAGTGACGGTGTTAAAACTTCACCCAAAATTCTTTTTTCCTTATCAATTATCGTCGAAAATGTGCTCGCGTGGTGTTTAAAGGGTCCTGATCTGGGCTTGCGCAGATGTTTTTGCACGAAAATCAAATTTTTAATCAAAATTAGTCCCTTTTAAACTCTCTGCCCGTCTTCTTCTGTTCAACATTTGTGCGGCCAAGACTTAAGGAACGACGTGGTTAATGACAGGTAGCTGTGGCGTCCATTAATGTGCTTTGTTGTTTATTTACTAATGTTTTTGGCGCTAATTCAACGGTGGTCACCATGGTGATGACGCAACAGTTATCCCATGTCAATATTGTGATGGTTAAAGTGTTAGAAGGCAATAATAAGTAAACCATCCTTCTTTTTGGGACCACTTTTATCCCCTTTACATTTTTAAATTGTGTTGTATGTGTGGCTCGAGCTCGTGTGCACGCGCTGCTGTCACGAGTCCAGAACGAGAACAGCAAGCATGTGCAAGTAGCATCTTAGTTTCACTGTCCCTTGATGTGTGTCGGGAAATCAAAGCTGTAGTGTGTGTGTGTGTGTGTGTGTGTGTGTGTGTGTGTGTGTGTGTTCACTTCTCCTGTTTGTGTATATCCCTCAAACTACTGATGTGAGGACATTTCATAAGGTTGGACTACTTGGAGTGTATTAGTGGTCAGACCTTTTGTATTTATGGTTTAAGGTAAAAGTTTCGGCACTGCCTTATGGCTTCCTTCAAATCAAAGGTCAGTCTTTCTCTGGATTTACAGACTCTGAACCAACAGGTGTGGATCAGTACTGGGAAAATTTAGCTACATTTATTAATCAGCCTACGTGCAATTTACTTTACAGATTGGAATCTGCAAAAGGACTATTTCGGGTTAATCGGCTATCGGTTGAAATGAGTCGCATATCTGTCTGATTGAAGTAGTTCCTGGTAAATGGAATTAGATAAAATTGCATGTTTCAAAGTATGTTTTAAAGGGACTATAAGGAAGGTTGACAGCCTAAACATGTATAGAAATAATAAATGTCTTCTTCATACATTCTCCTGCAATGCCCTGGTCCTGTAGAATGAGCCCTGGCATTTTTACTGTGATTGTCTGTTTTTCTGTAAAATCACAGAAAAAGAGAGATGCTCGGGTCGAGCAGGCTGCTTCATGCGCGTTCACGCTCAGGCATCGCCCGTAGCATTTGCTATCCGTAGCTTTAGCAGCAGAGAGAGAGGCAGTGCCACTTTGTCGCTGTTCCTAACGCCTAGTGACAAAGCTAGCTACATTTCTGAGGACCCTTAGCTACTTTCTGTAGAACTTTCTTCTTGAGATTTCCTGCAAATTAGCAACAAAATAGCCATTTTTGCTCCGAAACGTTCTTTGAACGTTGTTTCAGCTGTCATCAAGGATATAAATGTTACAGATACTCTAAATGTTACTAGAGTGTAGCTCACCTTGTAAGATGTCTGACTCTTATGCAGAAGACCTGGGTTCTATTCTGGGTGTAAACATAGTTTGTATTTGGAGTTTCTTTTTTACATTAATGATAATTTTTTTAAAGTAATAAGATGCCCAGATTTTTATTTGAGACTCGCCGAACGGCATTGAATTCACAGATAAAAAAAGATGTGGGTTCAACTTTAATTTTGGAACAATTTTTCAAGCAAGGGAAGGGAATGATCTGAGCATGCAGGAGGACTGACCCATCATAAACCTTTGTTGGCTGTGCTGAAGAGAAAGGTACAGAACCAAATTATTTAATTAATTAGCTGCGTGTTCTCCTGTCCTCTGTCCTCCGGGCCACACACACACACACACACACACACACTGCACGTTCGGCCGGCCAACGAGATAGTGCAGCTGCAGAGTCAGAAGCACATTATTGTTATTAATTTGCTGTGTTCTTCTGTCCTCCGGGCCACACACACACACACACGGGACTGTCTCAGCTGTTATTTTCGTTGAGTGTGCACGTATAGCTTGCGCGCCTCGTGCACGAGCCTATTATTGAAGCCGCCGTTATGATTTTGGCCTGAGGGGGCAATCGCGAGCAGAAAAATTCAAAAGTCCGAAAAATCCCTTTAAGTTAATTTTGATTATTAAAAAACCATCACAATCATATTTGGCATGATTGCAGTAACTACTGTTTAACATTATTATTGTATAGGGAACTCTTTCTATAGTTCACATGTTAAAGGGAAACTAGGCAGTTTTGGCTTGCTTTTAGCACCCCCTATTGTTCGTTTGTAGAACTGAAAGCAAAAGCTCCTTGCTGTGCGTTCTCCTTTTTAACACCTCAGTCTAACCTCTTATTTCCGCTGCTCGTGAAACGACTGCAAAACATACTACGTGTCAGTTAGCCATTATATTGGATGAGTTCCTTTCCAACGGCGGCGAAGTGTGATGTTTTGGACGGGCCCCAGACACGAGGGCACGCTATCGTTATGTTTCGAATATATCTTTTTTACATGCTATGCTTCCAAAACACGTCTAAATTCGCTGTTTAGATTGCTCCATGACAAGAAGTCAAACACAAAGCAGTGTAAAACACATTCAGAAACTTTCAAAATTAAAGTAACATGCAGGTAAACGTATGTCATTTCCTGTTAGAACCTCTGTAGCCCATGCAAGCAACAGAAAATACACCACAGACCTTTTTTTGATAAACACAGCTGTCTTTTTGCTTGCTTATTATTGTGTGTGGACTTCTAAAATCACGCATGATGTTGCAATTCTCCCGTTATTTAGTGATGTCACGGATCAGCTATTATGTTATGCGACCGCTTTCATGGCCAGTGGGAAGTCAAGGTAACAGCTGAAACGTCTCCCCAGCCTTCCTTAGTGTCTACAGGAGTGACTCATTACTAAACAAATTAGCTGTGTTCAACAGAGCAGCCGTCATTCTGATTTTGCAAGTGGAATATTCCTGCCACTGGGGACGATGGGGGCTGGGTGGCCTTTAATTAACCCTGTAAAGGAACATTTTAGCAAATACTGGCTCAAGAAAATGATTTAAAAATGGGAAAATTTGCAAATCAAACAATGTGGAGACAGATTTTATTCAAAAATAAATCTTGTGGTTCTTTTCAATAAAGTGCCAGAAAAAGACAGCCTTGTCCACGAAGCTCTATTAAGAATTTACTTTATTAACTATACCAACTTCATTTTGTTTATTTGAATATCATTACATTTACAAAGAGTGAATTTCATTTGAACTTTTATTCAATTAATTTTTATCATATTATTAGTAGGGTTGGGCATCGTTTGATTTTGAACGATTCCGATTCCAAATCCTCGTTTCGATTCCGATTCCTATGGATTCCCGATTCCGATTATTTCAAGACGTGACATGTTTTCCGTGAGCTAGCTAACCACAGGTTCTACTTGATGAGATAATCTTAACTTCAACATGAATTTTAACTCTATGAACAATAACATCACCTTCATTCAGACAAAAACATGTTTTTGAAAAAAGAAAAAGAAAAATTCTTGCAGCACAACCAGTGTGTTTGTTTCTGACCACAACCAAAGTCTGGAAGCAGCCTCTGGGATGAGAGGCTAAATGTCTCCAACATATCCAGAAACGTCCAGCTGTTTTCAGCTAAAACTCTCAGGATGATCATGTCCAGGATGACTGAGAACTACACCTCCATGCTGCAGCAGCGTTCAGTCAGAACAGAACAGTAGCTGCTGTCAGTAACAATCTTAACAGATTTTAAACATTAAAACTCAACAGAAATAGTTCAGAAAGGAAATAAAAAATGTTATTTATTATTATTATAATTATTTATTGTGGCAGAAGCTGGTGTGGTCCACCACGGAGAAATCTTCTCAAGCATTCTACAGGTTATTGTTCAGCCTTCTGACGCTCACACACACACACACACGAGTGTTGGTGAGCGGCTGCGTCTGACTGCTGCTGACGCTCTGTGTGTGTGTGTGTGTTTATTTTTTTAGTCCCATTTTTAAAGTGAACTGTATTTGTTCAGAAAGCCACTCTGAGGCGTGAGTTTAATCTAAGCCCAGCACCCAGCTGAGGTTTACATTCTTTTATGTCTCGATCATTTTGGGATTATAAACGGTCACACCTTGATTTACAGGAAGACAGGCAGACATGCCTCCAGGGCGGGGAAGTAGAACGCCTGCTTAGGTGAACTTTATGTTTTAGACAGTTTACGCCTCTATCAAACCCCAGACGCAACGTTGGCTGTAATTTGAAAGATTTTTATCACTTCCAGGTTCCCACTAGGCTTAATTACCAGTAAATGATGTAGTTTTCTAAAAGGCCTCCTAGATTTTTGATATTCAGATATTTTGGTTCTTTTTTCACTCCTCATTTGCTATAAACAGATAAAAAAGGGCTCTAAGACAGACATGGATTTTTCCTGCCAGGTAACGACAAACGTTGCAAATTTAATCACTGCAATTTATAGAATAGATTAAAAAAATCAATGATGTGTGTTGTGGCTTATTCTAGCTGCTGTTTTAAATAACACTTTCAAAAAAGCGGCACGCCATTTGATCAATGCAATTAAAATTTCTAAATTACTTTTTTAATCCCATTGAGAAATTAAATAGGCTAGATGTGGTTATAATTAATGATATTATAATTATATTATATTAATTATTTTATATTAATGTGGTTTTTTTGCATAGTAACCCCAAGATTCCACTACCTCCGCCCCCGCCTTCCGCCGCCGCTCGCTTCCGAACTCAATTTTTACTGGTATCCGCTCCGGTGCGGAGACCTGAGGTGCGCAAACAGGCATGCACGGGATTTTCGAGATCTTGCGATACAGTCCGAGCAATAAACGCGGAAGTTAGATCCAAACACCCGTTGTGTGGGAGAAGCATCGAAATGAACTGTTTACTCTGCCCATCATTTGTGTTGAGAGATCAGCAG